TCCTTCCGATTCATGGGATACTAGCGCAGCAAGTTTAATTAGTTCGCGAATTTTTCGCAGCATTCGCTGCTCCCACGTACCCACTCTGTCAACTCTAAGGACTTAGCTCACAGCACTCATGCGGAGACCTGTCTACCAAAAGTATGGGCAAATTTCTTCGAGGCAGTGCTGGTGGTATTTACGTGCCGTGAGAACTCACGAGAAGACGTGAATATCAAAAGGCAGAGCATGTTGGTACCTATTTCATCCGATTTCACGGCGGAGCTTCTGTACTAGCAGGATGTTGTTTCACTCAATTCCAGTAGGGTTTTCAGTCAATGACCTTTTTGATCATGCAGAATGAGGGCGTAAAATTGGAAAAAAGGTTTGAAAGCAGGCCAGAATAATCCTGAAAGGTTTTTTGACTCATTAAAAGAATGCTTTATTCCTTTTCGTCTGCCTTCCTTCACCTTGAAACCTCTTTGTTAACTTGTGGAAATAGGTTAGCAGGAGAACAAAATCCGGCATAATTTTGCATTACAGAGACGACAAATTGCCTAAAGAAGCTGCTCATCTGTCTGACGTTCGGAAATTTCCTCGAGGACTGGCTGCTATCAGCGCATCATAGGCCTCTAATGTGTATAGAAGTACCAGCGGAGTGATGTCACAAAGACAAGACACTTATGAACTTTAACAAGCTTGAGCAGATGGTTGAAGACATTTTAAAAGACTGAACTACCGACGTTGATGAGGCATCTTCTGGAAGAATTTTAAACGTAGACGGAGGCACTTCTCTGTCTTATCGACATTCATTGTCCTTGATGTGTTCGAGATTTCCAATGGACATCTTTTGCTTGAAGACGGATTTTTAGTTAGTAATTTTATTTAGTGAGCATGAGGATTTGTTGAATCCCAACCAAATCTCCCCGTTTATGTCACGGCTGGGCCATTAAGTCGTCTTCATGCTCACACGACTGATTTACTTGTAGTCAGTAGAGGCGGGGAAGTAATAAGACATATAGAGAGCTGTCGTACAGAAACCATCCATCAGTGCGCTCTGTCCTAACTGCGGTTATCGATTGCGTCAGGCTTGATTAGCCTGGTGAGAAGTGCTATCGAGACAGAGAAAACGCGATGGTCAGGAGCAAGCGGACTGTCAGTGCCAACCGATATTCGCTTCTCATGGATAAGCTGAACCTAATAAAGTTGAGTCGTTTGTCCTGCACTGGATTCTCACTTCTGTTGCCTACAGTCATCTTTGCTCTATAAGTCTTTTTGTCTAATGTGGAGAATTTTAGGACTTATTCTAAATTTCTGGCTTTAGTCTCCAGACGCCAGTTCTTTTTAACCCTGAGCGGTTTTCGCTTTGCAGACGTTCTTGTTCACTACACGCATTTATTCACGCTGTTTTCCCAAGTTCAGGACGTTAGCTCAAGCTGAAAGACGCAGCGCTTATTTGGGCTGCCATAGTTGTATTCCCAATGACCTGGTGTAAAGTGAGAAACTGAGTTACACGAGTTCTTCTGGTGGTTTTTAAGGCATGCCGTGGTGATTAAGCAGATTAATCATACCGGCGCTTTCGAAGTAGTGTGCATCGCATGGTTGCCCTGTGAACAACTATCCTTTTGGCCGGTGATTCTGGTTTCACAAGTACTTGACGTCAATAAGGGTAATTTCATTAAAAAGTATTTGGTTCATTGCAAACCACCACCAGCTTTGAACAGTTGATCCGCACTGCTCGTCACCTATCCCAGTTTCACTTTGACACTTGCTGCCTCATTGGCCAGAATTTGCACGCTTTGCTTTTCTTATTTTCAAGGGGACGCTGTGAGTGCACTCCTAAAGAGACGCCCTGATCGAGCTGTCTCGCGGACCTTCCCAGCGGCAAAGGTTCAAGTATCCTTTTCTACTAACCATATTTTACGCGGAGAAGGTAAGGATAAGTTGCCACTCCAGACCACTTTAATGTGCATCTATTCCTTCACTTGTTTCTGTGGAGCAGGCTATATTGGTTGCACGAGTCGTCGCTTATCCAAGAGAATAGGGGGACACTTCCCCGCATGACTGGGAAAAGGCGAAACTGGGGGCGTATGCAGCGCCGTTCTCGCGCATGTCGTCGATTCCGGACATCATGTAGACCGCAGTGAAGCTTTTCGTGTAATTTATAAGGTCCAGTCGAGCTAACCTGTTGGCCTGTTGGCAACAGCATAGGCGGCCGCCATCAGATTGCGAAAACCAATCTTGTGCGCACGGAAGAACCATCTTCAGGCTCCGCGCCTACAGTGGTCGAAGGTCGACTAACGCTACAACTCCCCCCGCGCCCTTCCGCTCTCACCCCGCCCCTGACAGTGACTGCTATAAGCTCCCCCCTCCCCTACATTCCAACACACGGCCCGTGTTTTAAGGCGAACTTTAATCGATTTCCCTTAGTAGTGACATGTTGTTACTTCTACTCCGTTCCCATATAATTGTACTGGCCCGATGAGAATTTATCGAAAGCTACGTATGCTCGCCACCTCGTCTTTTTATTTTGTTGTTGATTCCAGCGCAGGCCATTACTGCTTCAGATATCTCAGTACAACTTAGGCTATTTATATTTGGTCTGATCAGGTCAAAATCACGCCATATTGCAGTCGTAGCCCCAATCACAGCCGTAATTCGCAATCTTAGCTTAAAAACTTCACGACAGCTTTGCATAGATTTCAAACTCACACTCATACCGTCGGATAAATTTAACGAAGATGACGCTGGCTGTGGCGGCTCAGTTTTGAGGAAAACTTTAAACAGGACTGCCTTTCAGAAGCTGCTGGTTGGTGTGTTGTAGTGGTAAAGTATAAACTCGGCAAATTTCTTCTTAACGGATTCACGGGCAGAACTTCCGGTGGTCGCTATTAAGCCTACCACCAAGTTGCCACCATGGTTCATTCAAATGGTGGAATTTTTCCAATCGCTCTCAGCAACGGTCAGTACCTCTGTCCGTGTGCTGAAAGCTAAATTATCTTTGGTTAAAAATTATTTTTCATATTCGCTGTTTCATTTTGCATGAACCTACCACGCCAGTGTGCTTCACTTTCTCACAGATCTGGAACCTACACAACCATTTGCCATCTACTGGCAACACAGAAACGTTACAATACTGTCAGACCTATCCCAGCACGACCGTAATCTGCTCCGTAAACGCTTTCATAGATCGGAATTCTGGATTTAATTTCTCTGTGGACATATTGCAGTAATCAACGCAGGTATCAGTGTGTTGTTGTTTTTGTCATGGAATCCTCCAGCTCCGGACCAGGCAACCAACTTTGTTCAGGCAAATGTAGAGTCCCGAGGACCACCTTAATTTGAGAAGAATTTAGAAAGTGCACAATCGCCTAAAAATAAAATTTTCTCGAGGACGTTCTCCAGTTTTTTTTGTCGCGGGGGCTTCAAACGACGATATCCTGATCATCTCTTGTTCAGCAGCTACTCTTATAGATGGCTAACCTGTCTTACTTGTACTAGATAAAAGTTCTCATTACGCGAAGGTGCTCCTGAAGGCTGTGAAATGTACTCGAAAAAAAGCCAAGAGCCAATGATATTTGAATAACTTCATTCAAACCAAATAGGAAGAGTTCAGAAAGTGAACATGTTATGAAAAAAGTAGTTGGTACGTTCTGTCGACACATTCACAGACTTTGACAGTAAGTACATTTGGAAAGGCCATAAGTGCCACTCGTTTAAATATCACAAGGCAATCTTAAGCACAAAAGTGTGAATTTTTTAAGGCTTCAGTGATTTGAGCCTAGATAAAACCTCTCTGAAAACGATTCCTAAGAATTTATGGTCATTGTTTTATTCTCCCTCATATCAAAATCTTAACGAATCAAAGCAGCATAACAATCACAGGGTAAACGTTTTCAGAGCATCTAATTTAGCACTGTTTTCTGTAATACAAAACAGATCAAGCTTTGCAGTTTAACGATGCATTCTTCTTCCTCGTTCTCATCCATTATTTACTTGGACATTCAGCTGGCTTTTAATGGCGAGGCTGTAAACAAATGCGCTAGAGAGGGAAGAGTTTTGTTTCGGAACCCCGAAAAGTTGCAACTGAACCAATGTTCTCTCGACGTTCCCCACGGAACAGTTCAAAATTCACTATAACTCACGTCCACTGTGTGCCCCACACCAGACTGGCCGACGACTTACGCGGTTATAAGTATATGTTAAAAGCAGACTTGCCGCACATCTACCGCTCTCTCCCCTCCCCAACCCACATTGGCCCGGTGGCCAGACAAAGTCAGGACACAGTTACTTACGAGGTTAAACAGCCCGCCTACGAGTCTCCCCTTAGGCCTGGTCTACGCAAAATGAACTGAGCTTTCACAGAGATAGAAGAGGTTCGGACAGATCCAAACTGATTGCGAATGCCAGATTCAGAAGGAACCATTGCAGCCTGATTCTCCGCGCTATGAATACTGAGTTGCACTACCAGCTAGCAGCCTTACAAGCCACGACTATTAGCTCATCCTGCTAGTTTCAAGCGCGTCAGATTTTCTCTAGTGAGGAGGACGCTGAAGTGCCGTCGGGGTTGGATTGCACAGCGTCGTTCTCACACTCTCTTCCCTCTCCCATGCTGCATTAGGTTGATGTTGTCCAGCTGCTCAGTCATCTGGTGCTGGGATTGATCGCGAGAGGCTAGCCTACACATACCACACACACACAAATTGGTTCCCATCACGAAACGCCACAAAAGGACGGTAACAGAGATCTCACGTGCTGGAGTCCGCATTAAGGAGGCCTGAGTCTGAGAATGCTGCTATCAAACACTGCTGGCTAGCCAAAACCTCATATGTACTTGGGAACGGCTTTTATTTGCTAAGAATTATATTGAATACAGATCTTCATTTTGGAAGAGCATCTTCTTCTGCGATGAGGTTCTATTTTTAGACAAGCCTACGAAGTCGCTCCAAACCGTCATATGTGGAAAGAACTTCCCAAGAGAACATACTACACCGACGGCAACATTCAAGAACTGTCGGCGGATGATGGTTTGGATGGCGATTAAATTCGGTGAGCGGCCTGTCTGGCGGTCAACATCCGACACCATCAACAGCAAGGTGTTCATTGCAATTGTCAAGGATGCTTTCGGCTACAACGGCATAAGTCGGCGCCGAATGGATACTGTAATTTTGCAGGACAATGCACCTGTCCACCGCTCTAAAGAGGTACGAATTTGATGCCGCTTGCAAACATAATCTAACATTTTAGACAACAACCACGCTCTCCGCAATTGGCCTCCAAACCATTTTCATCCCGGCCAACAGTCCCGATCTGAATCCAATCGAAAATCTTTTTGGAATAGTCAAAAGAAATTGGCACAAAGCTAAGAAGACTCTTTCAATGCAGGAAAAATTGGATTTCATACTCAATAATTACATTTTACAATCCACCATAGATAACCTTGTCATGTCTATGTCGGACAGACTTTCTGCTGTTATTAATTCGAATGGACAATCTACAAAGTACTAATTTTTTGTATCTGTTTCTGTCCTTAATTATTTTTGAACTTTTATGCGCCCTCCTCCTTTATACGTCCTCATACGTAGCCTTTATTAACTTGCTTGTAATATAGGCGTTTCTCGATAATGTGACTTTTGTCGAAAATTATTTATTTTTATCTCAGTAAATAATATTTTCTTAACCAAACTTTGCTTTATTTCTTTGGCACATCGTTTATTTTCCGCTATCAGACTTTGGGAGCCGTAGTGTTTACCGATTTTGCGTTAAAGGCGTTAACCTGTGTTAATTCGTGACATTTCATGAGTTAGCACAGGTACTGTAGGTGATGGTTGATTAAGTATCCCTTAGCTGAACGTCTCAGATTACAACAGAACCTACTACGTCATCAGAATGACACTTCACAGGCCGAATGTGAAGAGACTATAATTTAGTCTGGAGACACAGAAGCATGTCTTATCTGATAGACTGTCCTGGAAACAGTTACTTTCTCGCCGATTCTTCGATAGATACTCCTAATAAACATGGACATTTCCCTTTCGGTGGTTATTTGGGTTCTAGTTAAGTTGATAATCGAGGGAACTGCTGGAGATTTTGCAATTAGAGTTTAATATTAATAAGGGAGATGTCTAAAAATGGGCTTAACCAATGAGAAAGTGAGACGGACGATGCGTCAGTGTGTGGGCGTTATTTGAACTAAAAAGAACGAGTGAAAACAGTGCCCAAAAGCAGAGGGCAACATATGTGCGCCTATGATCAAGGACAGGAAGGGAAATACTGCTCCTATCCGTTCGGAAATGGTAAAATCTAAAATTTATCCACATGAACACTGTTGCAAATGAATGACACAATGTGTTCACTCTGACAACATCGAGCAAGCCCTATTGACGTTTTTTTTAACCAGTGGAACTGCAGTCTGTTGTTGAGCTCCAGGGGTAAAAGGCACAGATAAGAAACTATCGAGGTTCGGGAACTGAACACACACACATCTCACGTCATTTAACTCAAAGCAGAGATAGGGCGCTGTATGAAAATGAACTATGATCCTGTAATTAGCCCTGTCATTGGTGTGCGGAAACTGCTATCCCTGCATCGACTCAGGCTGCGTTTGTGTGATCTTCGATCAGTACTGCTTGACTGACTCCATCGGAGCAGAGAGTACCAATTGCGAGTTGGCTGTCATTAAGCCAGATGTGAAGGAAATAAGGATGCCCATTGACTACGTCTCCATGCAAAAACCACATTAAGAATTCAGCCTTTAAGTCGCCTAGACAATTATTTGGAATTATTGGAAAAGCTTGTGACGACACTATAATTTGTCTTTTGAATAAACTCAAGTTAAATGTACCTGTACGTTTGGGTCGCATTTCCTTTTCCAAAAACATCACCTTCTTAACAAGAGCATCTGTGGAGTGTTCACACTGCCAAACTAGGCTGCAGCTGGTAAAGTATTTCAAAAGTAAAGCAAATTTACTGTCTGTGAACTTAATGGGTAAAGGATCTATTTTGACTCTGGACTGGTCAGTTGTAAGGAACTCGGTAACAAGCAAGGGCATTGATACGACCAGGGCTCTAAACGCCTGTATTTCAAGGCGCCGGTCAAGAGTCTTGATTCTGATTCATTTGTGCTAAAACAACCGCAAAACCTGTTGCAACATCTAAAATCCACAAAATCTTAAGCCACGATCTGATTGCCCAAGCTTGTCTTCCAGGCAGTCAAACAGAAGGCTGCCACTTGACCACATTGCAAGTTGAATTAAGAACTGTTTTAACGGGTCCGAATGATCCGGTTGATCTCCCACCTTTGAGATCTGGCATTCCAACCATCTTCAGTCTGACAACTACTTCACCATTCCGTAATCAGCTAAAGACTTCAGCCCACCTAAACACATTATTATCCCTAATGGGTTAAATGTAAATTTTCAATCCCTTATAGCCCTGGACTCAAAATGCTCTAGAATAATTACTCTGAGTAAATTGTATCTTTCAAAGAGTGTTGAATACTCCCTTATTCGGCACTTGAGAAGAAACATGGAAGAGATTTCCGATAGAATGTAGTTTAGGCAGTTCAAATCCCTAGAAGTGTGTATAAGCACAGTTTGTTCCATGTACCATGTGAATTATGGAAGGTATTGGGTACAGAAACATGTGTATACTCCCGAATACTGAATTCAGAGAAATTACAACGGTGATAACATATTGTACGTCCCCCAGAGGGGGGAGGGAAAACACAGGAACAGAAAAACCCCCGCCCCCTAATGCGAGCGGTCTTGTGCAAAATTCCAGGAAGGGCGCCTTTTCCCGTGTTCTAACCGTTTTACTAACCCTAACCCAAACCTTAACCGTAACGCCACCTTAATCTGATCAATGAATTTGCTAGAAGTAAGCACACACTCCCTGTATTGCCAATCATCCCTGTTCGGGGGGAGGGTAGGATGACGTAAAAGCAACACTCACTGCCACAAGTAACAGCGTACCTACATGGTGCCAAATGCGCTTTGGATCTACCCCAACGCGTTATAATTCACAACTCAGAAAGTTGTCAACAGACGACTGAGTGCCATGATACAATGACTCCTTCTTGATGCGACCCTTATGGTACTGTCACTTACGTGAGAGCGGGAACCCCTGAATGCAAATTCGACTTACGTGAGCAGGTCGTATTTTCCGAGTTGTCTAGCCTTGTGAGTCCCTGTGCCCGCCTGACACTTTCGTGACATAAAAAGGCGATGGCTGTGGAGAAGGGAGAATGAGCGAGGTGAACGCGATGAAGATTTGCTCGCCGTAGCCAAATTTCCGTGCAGATTATCACTACCTCATTCGGAGCAGCAGTCGGTCCAATTGCTTGCAAGAGTTGAAACAGCAGGTTTCCAGAAACAAGGCTGTCGTGCAATGGAACCTGAAATCTTTTGTTTTGCATCCCGCAACTCTGCATTGACAGGCAGCAAGGAGATGACATTTGTTGTCTACAAACTGGTGATAGCTGAGAATGAGAGCGTACCCAGGATTGTTGTGAACAGAGATTGCCTCATAGTTGCAGGACGTTTTGAGTATCTGAGGGCCACCACGACCTCAAGAAGTTTCAAAAGTAACAACGTATGTCGAAAAGCCTCAGGAGGGCTAACTATGCTTGATAACGGGCCCATGGCTCAATGGTAGAGTGTCAAACTCCATGACCAAAGATCCCGGGTTCGAATCTCAAGTGATCCACACTTGGGGTTGTGTATGACTGGCTGATGACGGCTAATAATCCAGAAACGGGCATTTCGGTCTACGATATCTTTGTCGGCATCATAACCTCGTGGACTATACTGGTTGAATTCACCGCGACATCTCGTCAAAAACCAAATGATTGCTACAAGAGATCACGGACGTGACAACTGGGCCACAGATACCCGGATAATGTCGGCAACAAACACATGCGTGCATGTCCACTGAAACTGATTGCCTTTAGATGAGGCGGACACGCATTGAGGGTGACTTGTGGACGCAGGAAAATTCAGAGACCGTATCCAATCTCTAGGTCTAAATTAAGAGACCTTGAACATGATCAGTAAGCATGATGGACAGCTGCTAAAAATGAAACAGTGAATTTTGAAGCCAACCAATAATAGTAGGTCAAACAAGAAGAACGTAAGTTTGGGAAGCCGCATATTGGAGTAACCAGGATTGAACTCTTATCGAAAAGACCCCAGTGCTAACGCCCGCATTGGCCTTAAAGGACATGCCAGCGTCAGAGGATGCTCACAGGACACCAACAAACAGTCAGCACTGTTGGCGGAGAAAGCATATTTTACTACGATGGTAGACTCCTGTCATGAAGAAACATAGTCAGATAAAAACAAATTCGTTACTGCGTGCCCAAAAAACTCAACTCTGGAGTCCCTGCAAGTCCAAAGAGACTCGTCCTCCTAGTCCACATTGTATCAGATTATTCAAGTGAAGTTTGAGCTTATTTAGTAATAGGCAGTATGTTATTACCGACACAGAAAAGAGAGACTGGAATGGCCGTTTTTGGCTTATTAGCCGTCGTCAGCCAGTCATACCCAACCCCGAAATTTGCAACACCCGAGGCTCAAACTCGCAAAATGTTAGTTAGAAGTCCACGCCTCTAACTACTGGGCCAAGAACCCGTCGCCCTGTCGGTTTTGATCGGAAATATACAATGTTGGGGGCGCTCCCCGGTCGTTCTTACGGAACTCACTCTTTCCGTTGTGCCTTACGGGCTCTTTCTCGAGCATAACCAGCAGCCGCACATAAAAAATACTGCCCATATCATGTGCCGCTGTGCAGCTGATGGTTAGGCTCGAAAGAGAGAGCCAGTAAGGCACAACTGAACGAGCGCGTTCCGAAAGAACGATCGGTGAGCTTCCCCTACCATTACTTAGTTATATTTGACAGTGTGACTGTTACACGCTATGTCCACGGTGTTTGCCGTAGCATTTTGAAGACATGAATTATATCTAGTGCTCCACCTCACCCCATGTGTTTGCTATCCTCAACGTCTTCGGCTGCTACAATCTGCAGCCTTCTATCCTCCCTAATTTTGGCTTGATGCGAGGCGGAGGCAGGTTCAGGCGCAATGGGTCCCACAGCTAAACGATCCATCTACGCGAGACGAAAATGATTTAGTTCTTCCATAATGAACCGGGTTTTTCACAAAATAAGGGAGACGGCTTGGATCCCGGTCTAGTAAAATTAAAAATAGAAGTCACGTTCAGAAGGAGGCGTTGAGTCGTCTATATTCACATGCATGCCGTCTCGAGTGTTACATTCAACGAAATTTGCCATGCGCCTCATGAGTTGGCGCAACACAGGTGACCTGCACTTAAATTTGTTTGTAGTGGGACCGACTCGCGGAGCGTCTACCACACTTCTTCTTTCATCATCGACCTTCCTCCGTTAGCAAGACAATGCAAAAATCGACCGAAGGTGGCCACGGATGCAACGGTTAACAATGCTTAACAGCCCATTTACGCGCGAGACTTGGATCTCGCATTTGTGACAGTGCCATAAATGCTACATTTGGACGAAACAACTTTATCCTGGCTCTCATCTCTAAGGAAAACCGAGGAATTATGTTAATAACGAACTTCAAAACTAAGACCCTTGACGCATTACGGCAAATTCAACTGTGTCTCACTTATCATAGTAAAAAGTGTGGCGGCATACCAATAGAATAGGTTCACAGCGTAAGCATTACTTCCCCTTCCCTCTATCAAGAACCTGTCGACTCCCCCGGAACTGTCAACCGTTGGCAATGAGATTGGGTGCACTGGCTGACGTGGCTTCAAGGCACACGTGCGGGGCGCGTTACCATACGCATGCATGACAGTAGCCAGAGGTTTGCGTGGTCCGAGCGCCACAAAAATAACGCGTAAGGTGAGAAAATCCGACAGTGGATCTGGTCCAGCGCATCTGCTGTGCATTCAGTTTCAGGTGTAGAAAATAGCATTCACACGTCACCCATCACTCGATAAATGAGAGGCTACGGTTTGCATGCTTACGAAGGTTTAGCTGCAGCAAACGTTGGCACACCAGCCGCTGTCTTTGATCTCACTGTCGGTTGTGTTGACTCTGCCTCTGAGTCAGAGCGCAGTGAATGTGCAAAGAAAGACTTGGGTAAACAGTACATGGCTGCGCATGAATTACTTATAGCCAACATATCTGGGTAAAATGTTACTGCGAATTTGGCGGTTTATTCGGATTTCGCTCGGTCGGTCATAATCTGGTCCAAACATGAAGGGTAAAGATAATCCACAGACCACGTCTATCGATAAGCCATAAACAATTTATCCAATCAAAGTCCATCACTCTCTAATCACCCTGGCACCCTCAGTCGCTGCACATCATGGTGGTCAGAATTGGGGTTGAATGGATGAAGCCAAGTCAGTCCCGATGTGCCTCCAAGGCGGCCTGTGTGCAGTTTTTGTTGAGGCCTCAACTTCTGTTATACCATATCGAGTTTGTCCTGGAAGGTGGAGCGTGACTGTTGGTTTTCACTGTTCCACATTTGAAGCCTTTTCATCAGGCAAGATAATCGATCTATGTGTGTGTCCCGCCCAAACGGGCCACGCGTTAGATGCGCTGGAGCAACACGGGGGCCACATCGAATTCTGGCAGGCGTTATCTCTGCACAATAACAAATACCAAAATTTACGGGGGTGCGCTGGCAGACCCTGTTGTCGGTAGTCGTCGCGCAACTGGACCACTGCCATCGCTCAACTGTTTTGGAGGTAAAAATCCTGGTCATTAGTTGTGTGGATCAGGTGATGCGGAGTGGAGCGGCAAGGTGAGGATACGTCCAAGCCATCCACTTGTGGCTTCCCTCGTCTTCGGTCTTCTTTACTCTGTCTTGACAACGGGCTCAGGCGGGAGAGGGGGAGAGAGTGTGGCAAATACTGCACAAGTCCACTGACACTACAAATTCCTGCGCAAGTCACCGTCCCACCACCCGTTGTCGGACATACGGTGGATATCGTCGAACACCATGGTCTAACTATTGTGTGTGTATTCGCGCACAAATCTCCACTTGACACTGGGAACATTAGTGGCCTTCACCAAGTAATATAGGACGAGGACAGCGGTTCCAACTGTTAGACGACCGTGTGCCTCGAGATTCCGTGGGCAAAAACGGAAGTCAAAGTTAACTTCCGTTGAACCCTACGCAGGTTAAATGACGGTTATCTGGGGGATAATTCGCATTTTACGAAGCTCTGAGGAGTGTGCTTCACGCTCATGGGCTGCCAAGCGTTCCTGCGGCAAGGGGGTCATTTGATCCGAAGTAAGTGAACGCCACAACCGCCTCACGCCTTCTAAACATCACCAGTATCGCAGGTTTTGGGCTGTGACCACGATGTCCAACGATAAAGTGGTTAATCGTATGGATGGAACCTTCTTTCGATAAATGGCCTAAGTGAAATTAATTCATTAATGTATGGAAAGGACGCGTTTAAGAAGGAGCTGAGATAAAACGCAAAATCGTATTGAAAAAAGGACCCAACGGTTATATCTCACCAAATGCTGACAGGAATTGTAGAATGCAGTTTCCATTTGGAAATATTTTTTTACCTGGGGTTGTGATAATGATTACCTTGCTGCATAATCTCATAATATTTCGAATTCGACAGAAGGGTAGCTTTTGAACGGACTTCTTTCCGGCTGACGGCGAAATTCGCGCTCGGTAAAAGGTGGTCAATTAAAAAACATAACGTTTCCCCCCGATTTTCGGTACCCTTGGAAAAATAAGTGTATGTCTCATGGAAGGCTTGCATAAAATATTCTTTTTTGTGCTCATTTGGCAGAAGATCATCACGTCTTTAAATTTTGTATTTACAGAAAAGTATCTAGCGGCTTAAAAAGCGTTTCAAATTATGACGCCTTTTAAGGCCGTGCAATGTCCATTCAAATAATATCGTACCTGACCTCATAAGATATACACCGCAGTCCGAATTCAATATTAAATTTTGTTAGAGTTTTATAGACTCTCCTCTTAACGACACAGGGGACATGCTCCCGTTACACAGAGAATTTAGAGATTGTGGTCTAAAAACCCTAAACGCAAATGTAGCGACAGATTAATCTTAGGATTATACAGAAATTTAAAAAAATTTTAAAACCAAAATATGCCTTTTATTTCAGCCGCTACTGCAAAGAAATTATGTTTCACAAGTTGAAGACAAGCAGGAAGATTTTTGAGCATGTTTCTATAAAATATGTTTAAATTTATAGGCCCATTATAAATCAATTAAAATGTTTTATGTTACCTAAATGATAATTTTTACTGGGCGCTTTTTATGAAGACCCCTGAAAAGTATATTCAGAAGTCAGCATTCTGGTGAGTCTGTAATACCTTGGGTTTATGCTGTACGTTAGTAAATCTTACAGTCCTACATAAGCAATCATACTCAATCAAAAATACTTTTCAGAATTTCGATTGACATTTCACGAGATCGGTCATTGACTGTACTTGAATCCATTAGCAAAGCTAGAGCAAGAGAGGAAGATAGACTGATAGAGGTAGGAGTACACGTGTTGCATAAATGACGTAACAGGTAAATGAGGAGTGACTCTTAAATATCCTTTTTATTACAACAATAGCCTTCCAAAAGCGCGAAAAATTGCTGACCAGGAGATCTTTCACGCGACATCATTTGAGTTTCAGCAGATTTTGCTAACTCGTCATGCCGCTTTTCAACAGAGGTTCTATACCGCGGAATGCATTGTTTCCTCTTAACAAGAAATATGATTCAATCCCCGACCACTATCCACATTCCTTAACGGAAAACCTCTTTTCTCACGAGGGAGTAGATGATTAAGTTGGTCATTAAACCATTAACACCATTCAGTGACAGAACAACCATAACATTGCCCTTATCCATTTACTTTCGCAATCGAAGTTTCTTAGTTTATTTGGTCGCCGGTACCGGCAGGCGTGATGCGATGACGGTGACTTATTTGCTGCAGGTAATGAGCATGAGGGAATAAATGGTTAGAACGGTCACCATACCGTACTCTTGGTAGAACAGACAGAACAACCATTATATTCATTTTATCGATTTACTTTCTCAATCGAAGTTTCTTATTTTATTTGGTCGTCGGTACCAGCAGGCGCGATGGGAGGACGGTGACTCTGTTGCTGTGGGTAATGAGCACTCTCTTGCGATTGTGATCACTTGCTCTGGCATCTCATGGAAACCCCTAGGGACTAGATATGTCCTGAGCATAAAATCGAAGATCAAGAGGGGAATAAGCTGGCAAAACTTCACTTTGATCCCCGCTCTAGACTTTTTGATAATCGCCATTTTACCCTATTATGAATTATAGGCCATGGCCTGCAGTGGAAAGTCACACGATGTCTAGAGTAACTAACCCAGAAAGCTATCAGTTGAAGATGGCGTGGGTCCGGCCCCGGGCCCAGGTGATGAGGGCTACTCGGGCGCAGACCCGACGAAAGATCGCGGAGCCAATGAGGAATAGGAAAAGGAAGATGGATATGATGATGATGATGATGATGATGATGATGATGATGATGATGATGATGCTGATGATGATGATGATGATGATGATGATGATGATGATGATTATGATGATGATGATGATGATGATGATGATGATGATGATGAGGGTGGAAAAAGGACTGGATGCGTCTGTCCTGCACGTCTCCCAGCCAGAACGGTGCACCAGACACACGCTTTCACAAGATGCTGGTGGAAGGTCATCGCGTCTGCTGATGACTCCGTCGGTTCATTTGTGATAGGTGGTGGCTGTGACTGCAGTACCACCAATGTCGCCACGCTGACTCGCACTCGCGCCTGACGAGCAAGAACGGTGAGCGCACGTGCGTACGTGGTGCGTGGGCGTGTTCGCAGGTTCGCGCCTCGCCAAGCGTCCCCGTTCAATAAAGAGCTGACTACAAGTGCTGGCACTAGACAACAGCAAGAGCCGTGCAGACCAGCAGCCCACCGATGATGCCCAGACTAGTGGCCTCAAAGCAAATTGGCGGTACGTCTTTTGCCATCAATTTTATGCCTTCCATGCCGCGGCCATAATGTTGTGGACGACGTTCTCTTGTCTAAGCTATCCGTTGATTGAGTTAAAGCGTAACGATACTGGAAAACTCTATGCTGCGAAAGAATACGAGTCAGGACAACTGCATTTCTTATGGAATCACACACTTCATCGCATAGATTCCTGCTGAACCGGTCATCCTGAGTTGATCCGTCAGCCGCATTAGCTCCCCACTGTGCAATTTAAAGTAGTGGAAGATTGAACTATCAAGGACGAAATAATCGAACTTCCTGTTAGCTCTTTTCGACTAAACGAGACCATTTTCGGATACACTAAGGAGCGAATATTAACGAAGCACAGGAGGAATTAAACCAGCAGAGTTTGTCTGCAGTACCCCGCAGAATAAGTCTGCAAACCATTCTGTGAGCGACTTCGGGGAATTCAACCGATATATAAACTGTATGCATAATATATGAGCCGATCGTCCGTGCGGGGAATCATATCTGGCAATGCGCAAATGGAAGCTTCTGATGTCATAAGTAAAGTGTTTTGGGCATTTAATCTAGAAATTCTCTGCGTAAAGCAATATTCAAATGGCAGTGGCCTAATCCTCAGCAAAATTACATTATTTAACCACCACTTGCAGCGAACACAATAGATTATTCTCTTGTGTTATTTGTTGGCTTATGACATCAACAAAAACATCGAAAAGAAGGGAGGAAGATGATTCCAAACATGTTCGTCCTAATCGCGGAAAAAGACGACTTAACAAGAGGAAAAACTAGAAAGTTTATATTTTAGCATAGTTTGTTCGAGGGTACATCGGGCCAGGCTGGCGTTGCAATTTTTTATTAAACTGTGTCGATAGAATAGTTGCAAATGCTAAAGTTGCAGAATTAGCGGGATAATTGTGTCATTATGTTAGAAGCGATAGGATTCACCCTACATGTTCAGTTCAAGACTATCTTATTATTACCCGGCCTCTGGAATATCTTGCGGTCAATTTAAACTCCCTGTTTAGTGAGTTTTACAGGAAGGAAGTTTATTTTCTTCCAACGCAATCTAGGACGTCTCGCTAGCATAATATTTTATATTTTTTTATTTCAGGTATCCCCGTTTCATGCTGATAACATTAATTTCGGATTTTTAGATTTTCTACCATTATAAATGATTTTAGTTATCTATTTGTCTTTCATAAGATAATCAAGCATACTATGAAATGTAGTCTTGCAATTGGTCCATAAAAGGTCTTATTATATGTGGTCTAATATGCTGTGTTATGGTGTAACTTCCAGGCGTTTGCGATGTTTTGGTCAACATTCGACCTGTCATCGAGTTGGCTGACAATTTTTATATGGATTTGGATGCAGCTATCGTAAACTTGGAGGTTAAACACTAACCACTTACCAGTAAAGAAAATAGAACAAAAACAGGTGTCGCCGATTTCTATAGGTGTTTTTAAAAATTGTGCAACTATCTCCCAGCCACTGCGCTCCTGAACAATTTTGCCTCTAAATAAAATATCATATCAGAAATATCAAAAATGTGTCACCAGACTGGTAGAGACTTTTTGGTGCGTCACCACCCGTAGCATAGAAACAAAATAGACTTGAATGATGGGAACTGAATAATCGCTCCGGTGGTTAAGGCCCACCTATAACAATTCGGAAATCACATTCACTTTTGCCAAAGAAATCACACTCCTTGCGTAAAGAAGTGGGAATTTTTAGAACAATCTTGCTATATCACTAGCAAATCATACTAAGTTCACTTAGTCTGAACTATGAACTCCTGGACATGTATTTTGGTGGGAAGTAGCCAATTTGTATCATTTCAAAGGATGGAAAGCTGCACTCCTCAAATTTTCGAAGGCTCTTGTGTCAAAAATCCCAAACGAATAAGTACGTGATGGCTTACTACTCTGAGCCTAGGGCAAAAATCTGCATAAGCAAAGTGACTGTACTCCAACTATCTATTTTTGAGCAATATTTAAGCATACATACACTATATGAATCGATAATCGGTGTTTGATTCCGGTTAAAATGTAATAAAATGACCACCATCACCTTGGTAGTAGGCTGCGGCCAGGGCCACTTGGTGATGTTCTTCTTCCAGTGTTAAACATGTCCGGATATGAAAGTTACAAATTGTGATTTAGTTTTAACGTTATTTTTTCTGCACCAACAAATATTGCAAGGGATATTATATACTAGTTTCGAAAAAACCAAATGGAGATGTTTTTACTTTCTCTTCATTTCAACGCTCCTCCAGCCAGACATCAGCACTCTGAGCATGCTACAGAATCCGGAAGATCTCGGCTCATGTAACATTCGGACGTTACTTGCTGGTGTATAGTCATGTCGCTCACTGGTTTTGTCAGTCTGTAGTTCAGGTGTCTACAGCGTTGCTGCAGTAAGACCTTCTCCCTGCTTTAGTGGGTCCGAACCCCACCGAGGTACTGAATGTTTCACAGTTGGGTCAAAATGAATTATTTGACCACTGTTTTCAGACAAATTAGACGACAGAAAACAACGGGAAAACATAACCAACCTCTTGGCAAACGCCAGGGCATTCACTTTATCCAAGCACTCAAAGCAAAAGAAGGTCAGCCTTCAGCAAGTGCTGACCTTGACCGGTACAGCTAAGTGGACGACTTTGCGACATTCATGGTCTTCCAGCTGAGATACTGGGTATTCTTTATAACGCTTGAATTGTTAGATTACTCAAAGGGCAGTGAAATAGCACGTGGTCACATTTCAAAAAGTTGCCTTTAAGTCCGCCGTCCTACTGGGTTGTCCTTCAAAACGCAACTGACGGAGTCTGCCTGCTTGCTGTTACATGCTGTGCTAGTCCACGTAAATGCAGCCTCGGTAGATTAACCCCCATACCTCAAAGACAGCAGTCAACATGTGGACTCTGAAATCTTTAACCTTGGAACTGAGACAAGATGATCCACATTGCTTAGTTAAGGAGTGCTTACAAAGTTTCCAAATGATGATGATGGTTTGTCCTTATTTAGACTACAGGTATGAAAAGTACGACCTCAGCGGAGGCAGCAAGCGTAAGTTCCCTTATTTTGATTACTCCGTTCTGGCGGTTGTGAACGTTAGTTTCCTGATCAACAAACCACATAGTAGAACTTTACATGACTGACCGTGCCAGTGATTAAAAGAGGGCAAACACAGAGAGATAATCTTGTATCCAATTGAGATGTCTCGATGACAGCACTAGCCACAAATCTGTCGGCGCGAAAGTCGCGATCCCACGCAAATGACGGACGAGTGGATACTTCGCCCCGTCTAGCAAGACACTGTACACGGTTTCATACTTATAGACCGTGGGTTGCCAAAGCGAAACCCATCTTACAATGTCTAAGCCATTTTTATGTGTGGCCGTCATCATTGAGCATTTTTTGGAATGTTTACAATTTACCTTGCAGCAAAAAAGAAGCCAAATTCTCAACCAGTCTACTTTCCAGGTAAAAGCTGTCTACACCTGGTTTATTTTCCTTTAAATTATTGATGTTAATTTTAAGAAATGTGGAACGGTTGGCTCAGTCTTTCGCAATTCAATAAGCTGCTCTGCTAGTTTTAAAAGAATCTTGAGAATGCTAAATCAGTATATTTTAAAACGGACATAAGATATTGATCCATATTGCCTAATTGAAAAGCTAAAGGTGTCAAAAGTTTTGTTCCTAAACAAGTGCCTTCCTCCATCAAATCTGCAATCATGTAACGGTATTCTCACTAAAATTGTCATGGCTCTAGTTTTACAGCAACACATGTGTTTGAACCCTAGATTTTTTGTGACTTTAGGATGTTTCACTTGATTTAACATAATAGACCAGCACATAATCCCATACGATTAGTGCCAATATTTACGCCAACAATGCTACCACTTTCTCATTAATTAAACAGCCCACAGTGACGATGGAACCAGCAGCGATGATTCCAACGGTGAGTCACCTTTTGCAATCAAATATTAATAATGATTAACAGTCAGCAGCTCTTTATTTTCCACATCCTAATACCGAGGATCTGATTCTAACGTACAATAAACATGATGTTTAATCGATAATTCAAGCAAAAAACACAACTATCTACATCAGTATTTAAAATGCAACCAGCCCAAACTAATTAAATGCATTATACTTTTTTAAAGTGTATCAGGTGCAAAAACGCACAATTCTGAGACAACGGAAGCCAGTTGCGACTTCTCGCGATAGCACTTCTCTCTGTCCCATCCATGGCGGAAGCGAGTTTCATTTCTTTACTTTTATTATCGTTATTTAATTTTACCCTTTAAATTGTTCCTGATCAGATGAGCTCGGTTAATGGTCATTATTTAAGCAGCAGAAAGCTAAAGCCTGTAGAAGTTCATTTTAAGAAAAGTGGACAAAACTGTTTAAGGAATGGGACAATTGAATATAGACTAGCATATAAAGGGGCCCGTACATACAAGGGTCTTACGCAGAATTGTGCATTTTTGACGTCTCGAAACCTATAGCGGATATTCTCATCTGCTGAATACCAGTGAAGTACTATGGTTCCAATGAGTACACGTTGACTGTGGCAAATAAAATACAATATCAATGGGTCGCTACAGAAGGATGAAAACCTGCAAGTGCTAGAGGACCCAAATGCCACCCTAATATGAAAATAAATCAGCAGTAATTTTTGTCGTATCCCGTGCTAAGTTTTTGAATGCAGAACAGCACTCTAGCATAGTCAAACACTGCATTAAGTACAACAAGACAGTATGATCGTTCGTCAGACATAGAGTAGGTGGGCGAACTCATGCAATGTCAACCGAAATTCCGAAATGCGTTTTCGTTTTGAAAAGATTAAATAAGAAAGGTTGTACAATTTATCCGCCTGTAGTACAATTCTATAATAATTCATTTACCGCAGGATGCCGGTTTTCGAACGAACTTCCATCCGGCTGCATACACGAACGGTACCCTGTAAAAGTGGTTACTTAAGTAGCATGCATTTTTCTCAATGGGTTTCGAGGCCTCTAAACGGCCAATTATATTTCATAGAAGACATGGATAAAAATATTCATTCTTTCATTCATTTGGTAGAAACTTACGCCTTCTTTCAATTTTATACTCAAAGAAAGAACACAATTCAGCTTTAAAAAAGTTTCTGATTGTGAGACTTTTTAATATCGTGAAATGGCCGTTCATAATACGTCATGTCTCTGCATTTACCGATGCGGCGTTTAAAGTTAACAATATGGCTCAAGCCTGCTTCTATATTTTATAAACCCGATATGGCTTCCTCTTAATACTGTAAATAAATGTTTAATCTTCTGTACACGGAAAATAAGTGGTTTGCAGTTTGGAAACCCTGAATGCAAGCGTGATAGCAGAGCGGGTTCAGAATGATTTGGGAATAAGGAAAGTTTTAATAACCAAATAATACCCTTCCTTCAAGTATAAAATTGAAAGAAGACGTAATGTTCTACCGAATGAATGTAAGAATGAATATTTTACTGTCTGACTTCTGTGAAATATAATTGGCTTTTAAAGGCCTCGAAATCCAAGGAGAAAATGCATGCTACTTAAGTAGTCATTTTTTGTAAGGTGGCGTTCTTGTATGCAGCCGGAGAGAAGTTCGTTCGAAAACCGGCATCCTACGGTAACTGAATTATTATGGAATTATGCTGCAAGCTGATTAGTTTTACAACCCTCCTTAATTAATCTTTTCGAAATGAAAACGCATTTCGGAATTTGGTTGAGATTTCATTAATTAGCCCACCTACTGTAGACAGACCCCAGACTTCCCGGGCGTTTCTCCAAAACGACACGCCCAAAGATGCAGATGTAGCATGGAAGGCAGGTCCAGAACCTGCAAAGCCGAGGTATTGTTCTCAAATGTGTTTCGCGTTGTTTCAGCAGCTGATCGATCCAACTCAGGTACCTAAGTGTAAACATCTAATGCATTGTGCACCCATCGGCCTCTAACTTAAATCACCATACTTTCGACCCATTTAACAAAAATTAACCGCTCCTTCTTGTAGACCCTTCTAGGATGCCAAACAGTAGATTTACTTAAACCTCTTTTTCTTCTGTCTGATTCCAGATCCAACTTACTTTGACAGAGTATTGGAATGTCCTGATACCGAAACTGAGGCGGAGTCTACGGACGGTAGATTATGTTTCCTTTATTCCTGTCTATAAAACAGATTAAGGGGCGCATTTTATGAAGTCTGCCACGTACATGTCCTTCTTTTCCTTCGCATTTTCTCCGTCCGCTTGTGTTTGCATGAAATATATATTATTTTGACGGTAAGATGGATCGCAGAGGAGTCATCTAAGTCTCGTTAATAAGTTAACAGATAGATGACGACACCGGAAAAGCTCATCTCCATTAGGGTCCTTATCATGTCTTGTATGGTTTACTTGTTAACAACTACTAGCCTTTCTATTCTGTTCTTTACTTTCAAATTCTTGTCAACAATACTTGAGGCGCCCAGATTGTTACAGCTATGGCGATATGGATGCTAACACCTCCGACAACGATATTTTTTGACTTTAGGTCAGAGTTATAATCAAACAAACCGTCGTCGACCTGAGCCTTCTTCCGACGATGAAAGTAATTAGACTTGCAATGCTTTTTAAAGAGTTTTTTTAAAAATCGGATACTGTAGTCTCCAAATTCTAAGTTAGGCGTTTTAGGCTGGATTGTTTGCCTCAGTATACGCTGATTCATTGATTAGGCATGCATACTTCGGAATATATTAATTCTCAAATTTGAAGAGGTAGAATATGCATTTGTCGAAAAACTGGAGTGACTTAGATTACACTGGTTTTGAAGCCTTTTGATTGAAATAAATGACTATTATGACTGAGCATTTTAAGTAAAATTTAAAAAGTTTAAATCATTGGGGTAGTATGCATTCCGAACTTCTAGTTCCAGCTATCTCTATTTATCTGACAATGAATGCTGTTATTTCCTTATTATCAGTTTTTTCTAACTACATCTTCAAATGCTGCATTCACCTAGTAAGCACCGGCAGACACTCGCGCAATAGCGACTGGCAGTCGGAGCAAGAAACCCGTAAGTACACCCGCAAAGAATCCTACAGTACTAAAAACTAAAACATAAGTTCATTACATGAAATTCTTCATTAATTCAGGGTTCAAGGTCGTTTTTATTTTCAAAAGCGTTATTTATCATGGTCAGATAGCGTGTCAATGGGATTGTACTATCGAGAAGTAGACGTCAAAACGCACGCCACCAACAATTTTACAACGTTTGTTTTAAACTACTTTGCTTGGAGAGTTCAACAATTTTTGGTGCTTGCTTTGGTTTGCCTTATGTAGTGTACTAATACACACTTAATTATGGCAGATGTTAAGCACCCCGTAACGAGTAGTGTTAACTGTGTATATTCCGAGTACGAACACTTAACGCCTTGGTCCGCCTTTCGGTATCTGAGACTAATAAATCGATTGACTTGAAGTTGACGTAAATACCGCTCCTTGGAAAAATCAGCATTTTCAACGTTTGTGAATTTTGTCATTCTTCTAATTTCGCTGTCAAGTAAGATAATCGTGTTGAACACGGTAAGTCTCATGCTTTCCGGAGTGGAGACCATGTAATTATCAAGCAGCTTAAAAGGTTGTAAGCTTTACGAATACATCGATAAAATTTGGACCATCGCAAGCACAAACGTGCACCCCGTGGATGCAACATCGGTGACTGGGATGAATTAACTTATAGTGAGACAGACTTGCACAGCATCTAGCGCATTCTTCCGTCCGCCACCCATCTTGTCCCAGTGGGAGACAATATCAAGCTCCGCGCAGCATGTACCACTTTATGTCCCCTGAAACGGATCACGCGCTAAATAATTTGGACTAACACAGGAGCCAAATGGGAGTACGGCTGGTGTTATCGCGGATGCGTACCCATAACAAAAGTCAACATTGGGATGTGGCCGCACGCGCATTTGCCGGTTCACTCCACGCCAGTTGGAATTCGTGTCGCAACTTTATTTGCGTTGTAGTATAAAATCCTGGTCAGTATATGTAGTGGCCCAGAAGATGTGGTGATGCACCGATGTGCGACTTTACCCCGTGTCAACCACCTGTGCCCTCTTCCATCTCCAATCTTCTTGATTCTTTCTTGACAGCGTGCACAAGTGGGGTAGAAGGAGAGAGTGTGGTAGATGCCGCGGATTTATACTATGATTATAAACTAATTCATGCGCAATTCGCCGCCCCTGCCCGCAGTCTGCTGCACAACACACGGTGAACATCGTCAGAAACGAGCGTAGAGCTGTTAACAGACTTTCATACAGATGGCTCTGGTCTCCCATGCATGAGTGTGCGGTGAAAACCACATTGTGAAGGAACCACCTCCAGTCACCACACTTTACTCACCAATAGGTGCGAGTTATCCCGTCATTTGTCTTCTTCCTAGTCACGATTCCTGGTGCCCGTTGTCGCCTCCAATGCATTAGACATATTAGAATCATAGACGGACTCCCTAGTAGCGGTCTGACTCAATCCTTTCTTCCGCACACTAGCTCGATGTCCGAGATTGTCGAAAAGCAGGTTTTTTTATTGAGCTCATTAACTGGCATTATGTGCAAGCCGATTTCTAACGCGTACCAGCAAATGCACTTGCGACGGTACTCATGAGCTCGCGCAGACCCAGAACAGCCAGACAAACGCGCACAGTGAGTCAGTCTGATCTACGCTTCGGTCAGCCGCACCAGCAACGCAGCCAACTGTGAGGAATAAATTCATTCAGTGGGTGACCAGACTGTTTGTCCTCACGCACATCCGATTTAGAGACACGAATTTTGTCAGACAATAGAATTAGGTCAAGTTAAGTTACCTTTCCAACTTTGTAGGTATCTCGTCACCTGTGATTTTCCGGCCCTATCGACCGGGTATTTATTCATTCTGGAATGGCCGCACGCCGAGTTATTGGCACCTTGAAGGAAACAAGCTCCTATGATGTGTTTATGACGCATCCGGTTAATCTCTGTGGGGAATTATTTGCGGCATCTGCGAGGCGCATATTTGGGTTTGTGGTCCACATCGTAACCAGGGTTATGCTTGTCTGAGTAAAGACCTGAAACAGTTCTCTGCCCATCTACACGCATTCGCCGGCGTCTCGCTCACAACTATAATTGCTTGGCGGACTTCGGTCACAAAGACGGTTACCTTTCCATGGCCCATGCTAGGTCTGTTTGTTTGAGGATGCTAGTTTGCGCTTAAGGCTGATTACGAAGACATATATATATATACATACGCGTTTGATATGGCTGAAAATATGTACCAGATTTTATTTTCTTCGTCTAGGCCCGAGGCGCAACGAACGAAGACCAACCAAGCAGGAAGTGGATAATGGTATAGCAATCTTTGTTAAACAGTTCAAAACTGAAACCCTTGCCTGAGGTTATCTGTGTTAATGCATCATCCCATGCATGGAAAATTTACGAGACAGTAGTATTCTGCAAATTCATCAAATGTGGATGCAATACGCAGCTACTTTCTTTAAAATGACACCCAATCTACTTAGAATATAATTAACTCGAAAACATTGCAGAACGTAGTTAACATCCCACGTGTTTCATATTTGAAAAGTTGGCTAGATATTTTAAGGATGGTACAAACGCCTTGCTAACTTTCCCCAAGTCGAATGGAATCGCTGTACATAAACACACTTCAGCACTTCTTTATTTTCTCATTTCCTTTGTTATGTAGATCGAAGGAAGTCCACAAGATGCAATCACAGTGCTGAGCCAGGTATAATCTGTATTCTATCTATTGAATGCGATGAAGAGTTCACTCAGACACATAACGTCAAGATTTTACATCTCAATTATAGATAGAAATAGGGGCAAGGCAAACCGCTATCGAGGTAAACATTTTACTACACCATTAACACATTACTACTATGCATTCAATAACTGGACCGATGTCCATTACCTTTTCGTGCATTTACTAAGAAGTTTTTGCTTGTATTTTGCGCAGACGAATCCGAAGGTTCAGAAGAAGAACGTAAGTTTCTGGAAGACTAATACAACCAGAATGTTAATCTTACGTATTTCAAAAACAGATGACACAAGTGCGGTTAAATGATTGAAAACCGTAAACCTTCGGGAGTATGTTAGACAATAATGCATTTGACACGTAGTCACTGAAAAACAAGATCTCTGTCTTCTCAACATGCAGGCCTCATGCTATAATGCACGCTGTCAGTAAGAGTAATCGAAGGCAGTCCTCTGATTTTTATTTTAAACTTTCTAGGTTCACCTAGACAGGTACAAAGACAAAGAAAACCAGGTAAGTAATAAAGCAGTTAGGTAGTAATAACTCCGGATAAAATTAACTTGTCCTCATTTGTTATTTGTATGTCTCTTCAAACTTGCTGGAGTTTTATTGCTGAGTTTTATTTCAACCTGCTATGCGCACATAAACAACAACCAGTTTCTTGCCTTTAGTTCGAAAAGAAAGGAGGGGTATGTGATCTACGACTGTGAATTTACTGCTCTTTTGCTCAAGCATTCGCTACTCAAAGTCATTTTGACCATTCATATGATCTCGTGGTGACTAAGCGCTCTATTGAAACTTCAGACTACGAAGAAGAGTCCGAAGAAGAAGGTGAGTTCTTCTTACGTCCAGAAGGGACTGTCCATAATTTTTTTATGTTCATCGCGTACCGAATTTAATATAGGGGTTTAAAGAAGGAGACACGATCGCCGGGACAAGAGCTTTATTAGCCTGACGTTTCAAATTCCTACTCGAATCCATCATCAGAGACAAAAAAGCAGAAACGGGTGGTTGTTGCACAAGGAGCTGCGGTATTTATAGGCTCATGCGACGAGATCCGGTCGCACATTCAAATTCGATGAGGCCGAAATTCTCGCAAGAGGTGACAACCGCGTGAGCCGGGAGCTACTGGAATCATGGTTTACTGGCCCCCAGTCCATAAACAAGTGCAACGATCTTCCGACTCCATACTCAGGGCTAAAACTTCCCTAGGCGGAGTAACAAGCCATGCGGGGAGGGCAGAGGTGAACACTTTTCCCAACACCGGGGTCGGTGCGTCAGATGGTCGAGCAATCATCACGCCAACATCCAACGCACGTGATGAAATTGCAGCAATTGTCGACTCGAATGTCGGCCATCAAGCAACGATCACACCAAGTGCGACGATCCCCGATGAAGGGGGGAGCTGTGAACGTTCATAGGTATGCGGTAGCATGGCGACTTTATCCAATAGATACTGCAGCCCCTTGTGCATGAACCACCCGTATCTGCTTTTGTCTCTGATGATGGATTCGAGTAGGAATACGAAACGTCAGGCTTATAAAGCTCTTGTCCCGGCGATCGTGTCTCCTTCTTCAAGACTACTTCCTGGAACTCGTCTCTTCGCTTCAATTGGCAATAGGGGTTTAAATAATTTGAGATTTCATTCTAAAAATTAGTGCTTCTTAGGCGGTGTTTTAGCGATGTACAACAAGACCTTTGGGTAAATCCTCGACTGTGGTATGCTGGTTATTAATTGAGCAACAAATCTGTACAGACCACTTCGAAAAGTTAGTAAATCACAACGAAATGAGCTTGTCCGCAACTTAACCAATGAACGCAGTTTCAATATGCAGACAACATCTGACCTACCTCATGAAATGTTAAAAAACATTTCAAAGTTTGTTTTTGGGGAGAAAACGTTACCTCAGCCGAGTCGTAATATCAGCCAATGTGTAGCATAATCCTAAGACGTTTTAGTTACTACGGAATGTTTGTTTTCAAATGAGCCTTTTTGGCCGTCTACAGAGACAAAATGTGTTCAAAAACGGTTATTTTTTAAGCATGAATTTTATTTGTTTATTTTCAATGACCTAAAAATAAAAGCATATTATGTAAAAACCATTCACAAAAATATTATGAGCTCTTAGTGACGTCTTCACAAAAGCAAAGCGGAATGCATGCTTCTCTCTACACCGTAAGGATGCAGTATGCATTCTTGAAACCTTATATACCCTAGTAACTGTCTTTTAGTTGCAAAATTATTCGAGAATAAAAAACTTTTCAAAACTTCACCATGACTTTTCTTTAACTATAAGATCTGAGAAAGTAACCTGCTGCAAAATAAAAACAAAAAAGTTATTTCTGCGTATTTTAAGGGCATTCACTATAAACGGGGAAGTGTCATACTACGCAAGCAATCATTTTGTAACATCGGCCGTTTTTGCGAGCTGCCAGAGAGGAGCTCATTTAAAATTTAGCATTCTGTCATGACTGAAATAATTCGGGATCATATTGCTAAAAGACCAATATAACAGTTACCCTTCTAAACTAAAACACGTTTCAGAGCTCCGGTTACCACGTTATTAGATAAGCCAGTTTATGCTACTTGAAATGAATACTCACAGAATTCAGTAACATCTCTTAAGAGGGGTGCGCAAGTATGCATTACAACCACACTATATGCAAATGTCCACTATCCAAATAATGCACTCCGATGAAGACCGCATTTTAATCTTAAAGTATGCAGCCATGATTATTATTTTTTACGTTCACACGATTAGCTGTGTACTGCTATATGTGCAAGTTTATTAATCCGACTGTGCGGGTAGTTTACATCCACTAAATGGTCTGATTGGACTTATGATTTTCAAGAAAATGTAGCACCAAAGGCATTCACCCAAGTGAAGTTATGTTGCATGGAGTTAAACACCTACCGACCAACAGGAAATATTTGTAAAATAAAACGCGCAATGTAGTTGGGAGTATATTTGATACAAGGATTCAGCCTCCCCACATAATAACTGCGCATGGATGACTGAACTTACCCGCTTTATTTAGGGGATTATGAGTGATTTTATATGAAGAACAAAATAATTTTTGAAACATGGCAGCCAAATTGATTTTATAACCAGAGTGTTGCTTACGCATGCAAATTATACCTCTTTACATGAAACTGAGTTCTTTTTGTGCCTGTGCTTCCAAGTAATTTAAAGAATATTACTAAAACAAAGGAGAGTAGTTCATCGAGATCTTGATCATTTCCATCCCATTTACAAACGTGCTGTCTGATATTTGTCCTGGAGTTTAAAACATCCAGTCGTGAAAGTAGCATTCAAGTAGTTGTCTCAGAATTCGCTCTCCACCACGTTTAAATGCCTTTATCTTCACTTGAATCTTTTAAGCTCCCCCGAGATCTTCACTCAAGCAACGCAAACCAGGTAATGCTCTCAAGGTAGAGAAATAGAATGGTTTGAATTTGATCGGTTAACACACTGAATTTTTCCGACTGATTCTACGGGTATTTACCACAGTGAATTGTGGAATTAATAAATAAAAATGTGTTCATTGTCTTAATTAAAGCACCCAGAGAAAGGAGGGGTAAGCAAGTCCCGTTTTAATATAAATTTACAGCATTAATGCTCTGTGGGGTAGTTTTCCAATTGACTATTGTGATTTTCAAAAAAATATTTGTCGGACATGTTCTTATATAATCCAATACAAACCACAAAATCTGTTGTCTAAAAGAACGGGCGTATATTGACTTTTCAGACAACGAGGAGGATTCTGAAGTCGAAAGTGAGTTGCCTACTGTGTTAGTTAAAATTATGATTTATCCGAAGAATTCCTTGTTTGCGAGATTTAGGGCGCGTTGAGCCTAATGAATGTCGTTTTGTTTTGTTAAGACTCTTAATCATGCTGCGTAAAAATATCGCCCTTATTCTAACCTTCACTGCTCCAGGTCCTCGCAGACAGGCACAAAGACGATATAAACCAGGTCAGAATTGTAGGATGATGAACATTTTACTTATCCACAGTAACTTCCCACACAAGGCTAATGTTTAAGTTGTTTTGTTTGATCTTTCGATGAGTCCTATGATGCATCTTGTTGCAGTTTTATGCTTTCTTAATTGCCTTAGCCCTCAAAACGCGAAGGGGTGAGCAAGACTGGAACATTTTATTAAAATTTGGGGGGTTGCGTATATGAGGCAGGACGGAAGTGTAACTAACTAATAGCGTGAAAGCTGTGCATACACTTAAAACAGACATTGCTCATTTTAATTAGGCTGCAGTGTCGATCTCACAAATTATTGTGTGCATATTAGTTGGAAAGTAAAGGTGCTGGTTTTAACTTTAGATTACGACGAGGAATATGAGGAGGAAGGTGAGTTTACATCCACGTCGTAGTCGGCAGTCTTTGACATGGTCCTTATAAGGCACATATCGTCTTGGTAACAAACGTCTCCTTTAAATAACGTAGTAAAAAGCTATTAGAAAAATATTGTCTGAGATAGTCTAAGTTAGTAATGCTCGCTTTATACATTGACATTACTGAGATGAATACAGTGAACTAAGCAGTACTTAAGCAACACTATCAATTTCCTAATTAAGATGCCTATTAAAGTCCGCTGTTTTTCCTAGCAAACATTAGCAAGAAATTTTGTTTAAGTTATATTTAATGCTAAATCTTGTACGCGGAGAGTAATTAGCTCTGAAGTAATTGCTATTGTGTAAGTTTTTTAAAATGCGGGCACGCAAATTGTGTGCCGTACAAAGATGATTTCCGTGGAAAGTATCAACCAGCACATCACTATTTGGTCCTCATTTTAAACACTCCAAGCACTACTTTTCGACAGAATAATCGACAAACAATATCTTTTGAGAAAGTGTTTACTACCAAAGGACATAAATAGACTTCACATAGCTTTTTAGAAGAACGGTAACAGCTTATTTTACATAAGCAGCAAAATTCCAGAAACAAAGCCTGACGCTATTTTCACGGACCTAAATAGGACACCCGAGTTCTCTGGCCTAAATCGTCACATTTCATTTTGCGTAAGATAACGTAGGGAACATTTTAATATATTTGCCAGTATCGCAATGCTGCCACAGCAATATTTTTAACGTCACTTTGTGCTGAATTGTTCCGCTCCCAGCCGGCAAATTGATGACTGGGATAGAGAGGTCAGAAGTGTACATCTGCTATGCTTAGACTTGCTATTCAGTCAAAGCACGCCCGAAAACGAAGGGATTTGAAATCAGAATTCCATAAAAAATGTATATAAAGTTAATCGTTCTGATTATTTTGGCAAGGATTTGATGCGATTCTTGTCGGTCGGCACAAAGCATATGTATTAATACGCTGTTGGACAAAGTCTAAACGCGCACAAACGCCTAGTCAGTCCACAATGATGATAGGAATATCCACCACCCGCTGGCCGTGGAGGCCAAACCGTAGATATTTCTCTACTTCTGTTTGCTAATTTGCAAATTTTGTGTGCGTGAACCTGCTTGCACAAATAGTCTCTGGATATTAAGACTTAGTTCGGTAATCACATTTTCGCGTTTTTAGCTTATCGTATCTCACATGGACCTACAAAGTCAAAAAAGCCAGGTAATTTCCCTTGAGATTCAAACTGCCCTAGAATAGACCTAAGACTCTGTTAGTTGAATGCGAACCTAAGAACTGTTCATATGCTTCATGCCTATAATGGCAAGGCCTACTCTGGGGTGTAAACTACACTGTCAAAACAATCTCTTAGGCACAGTTCAGTTTTTTACTGTCTTTCCAAACGTATTTTTTACCTGCTTGCTATAGATGCATTTCATTGGTATAATTATTTAATTTTAGTAAAGGCTCAAAGTCGAGGTCAGTTTTTGCTCGTCATTTTAAGGACTGAATGAATTTTGCTACCTGAGCTCCCATGCAGTCCCTTAACCCACCCGATTGCATTTGAACACTAAGTGACGACATTTTGACTAATATCTGTGTTCGTCGCATATCGCTGATTTTCACAGAATGCAAGTTGATCCTTGATTTATGATATGCAGCCATTAGCAGTTTGTGATTGTTTTTGAAAACAATTGTCATATTCTCGGAATGCTATTTGAACACTAACTATACAGGGATGAATGGGCATTTTTGGTTTTTTAACTAAAGCCATCTTATATACAAAATATACCGGCTTGAAAAGAATACAGCATCTTTAGATTGATTGTGCTCAAATGATAGCTAGCACGTCTAGATTTCGAATTGATTTCACCAAAGAAAGCCTTAAACAGATGGCCAAGAAATTAATATTAACTTTCGGTTGCACTATCGTTTTATCAATTTCCTTACAGAGGACACCCAATATCAAAAGAAACCCGTAAAACCAAATAATAGAGGCAGGTTTATTGATTAAAATTAGGGGAGAGAACCCATTTTGCCATTTTTTTACTTTCAAACATAAAACGCATTTTTAATCTAGCCTATAACGGAGACAACGATTTTGAAGAAGACAGATGTAAGTGTCATTTTGCCCTATTCTACCGGTACTGTTTTTCTTTTCCTACTTGATATAAAAAACTACTTATCGCTACCATACAACGCTATGTGCCGTCCGAACGTTTCTTCTTCCTCTCCCTACGAGTTGTTCTAAGTGAAATAACGAAATATTACTGCCTTGTGCATGTAACACGACTGCTCAGAAATTTGCCGGCTGATGTTGGGCACACTGAAATGTTAATTCCCGACCTATTGTCTTCCAACAGCCAGTAATGCCCCACGCCCTGATCATGCTACCGCCAGCTTTGATCCAGGGTGTTTGCCTTTTAATAGTTTAACTTGAAGTAAGCATTTCACACGCCTTTTGATTAGCATGGGAACTCCAGAACTACTGGAGTTTACCGATTTATATCATTCCCTCGCAAAACCAATGGTGAATAGCATGAGTTATTTAATCTACACTAGCGGTTTCCAGCAACGCCTTAGTCTCCTGTATGTGGCTCCAAATATTGGCCCTGTTTAAGCTCGCTCCTCGATAAAACCCAAGCCGCATGCGGCATTCACTTTCTAATGATTGTTGCAATAATAGCTGCTGAATTCACACCGCTAAACCAAGCTTACCTTGCATCCTCTTCGCAGGTCCACCTAGAAAGAAGGACCCAAAACCCAGGAAACAGGGTAAATCTCCTTTTCGAAAATACTTCTGAGGTGATTGATTATGCGGCATATTTTCGGGTTAAGGGAAGTTTTAAAACGAGAAACTATTAGCTTACTTTTATACATTTAGTTTGGGGCGGCTCCAGTCGCGCCAGCCGTTGATCTCATGGTTAGTTAAATTCCTGGTCAAGTGTTTGTTGCAGACCACGGGGGGGGGGGGTGGCACGCCTAGAGTAGGCTCCGACCATGTCAGCCACCTGCGCCCGCCCCCACCTCCAATCTTTTTGGCTATGTCTAGACGCCGAGCCAGTTGGGGAGATGACAAGAGTGCGGCAGATGCAACGCAAGTCTAACATTACTATAAGAGAAATCCCGCAGAAGTCACCATTTCTGCCCGCACACCTCTGTGGAGCTCACGATGGACATCATCGTCAAATAACTAAATTTGTGATATACAAGTTAAGTTTGCCTGTCATATATAACAACATCACTTAGAATGGCTAGCTGTTTCCGCATCCGCCTACCTTTTTCAAACACATGCGACCACAGCTCGGGTCTTATTTTCCGCCTTACCTTTCTAGAGAAGGTTCTTAAACGACAAGAGGAAACGAAGTGTAAAACGGGAAATTTATCTGAGCCAAGACCGTTATCCTAGAAGCACAGAATGCTCGGACAGCGATTCTTTTAATATGTACTTAAAATAAAAAAAAAACAGTTATTAAGCTTGAAAACCACGCATTTGGCGGGTTTGGCAATTTCACTGGATTACAATGTCAAGTAACTGCATGGCCTGTGCACGGCGTAAACATCCAAGAAACTTTATCTTACTCTAAGTGATAATTTACAATTTTTTCTCGAAAATAACCTATAGTCTGATTAATCGTTCTTCAGCTGAGCCAAGAAGGGAACCTCCGAGACGTATGTCGGTTGAGCACTCTGTTTTGCTCCAGTAATATTAGATATATTTTTGCCTGGTTCCACATCACTGAGTAGAATCGTGATTTGACTGTTTGATATGAGTTTACTGTAAGATGTTATTAGCACTTTTTTCAGTAATATTCAGTTCTATTTTCATTCCAGTGCCGAACTCAGTTCTTCATGAAGCCATACTTGGGTTAAAAACTAACTGTCAAAGATCCTTGTTTCGAGACTTACTGAAATAACACCGGGTTCAGCATGGAGGATCTTTTTGTAATAATTCAGAGGCGTCTAGGAGCATCTTTCCGATCAACGAATAAAAAATTTGCCTTTTCCTGATACATTTATTGAGATTGCGTAAACTCCAGTGATGTTTCTCACGCAGGAAAATGAGGTTTCAAAGGCAATAATAAAGGAAATTACTTTCACAGCTTTTCTAGTTCCGAGGACAATCGTCTTCTAAATCTTGCCTCGTTTATCAATGCCAATTGTTAAGAGAAACCATTTACCTTAAGTCAGCAGGATTTCCTAAATGGAATAAATGCTAATTTTTTCTCATGCAACTGGAATGAATCGAGTATTTTCACGATGCTGCTGTAAATATGAACTGCTTTGCGTGAATTCAGAGCGGAATTATGAGATCTGAGTATGTTAGCTTGTATGGGTTGTTGCGCGTACATCTCAATCACTTATTTATTTTATAAATTATTCGCGAGCTGAGAAAACGTTCCCTACAAGACAAAAGTCACAGTTGTATGCGAGACACCCGGAAAATTTACGTAAACGTGCAAAATCATGACAAACCAAAACTGCCGCACATTTCTAAAGTAAACAGCGATCAAAGTTGATAACCGGCAAACTGTCACATCGTAGATTACATCGGATACTTCTTCACGCCGAGTCATACTGACTTGTCTTTCAAACTATCTGCTGTACTTGGGTGCACTTTAATAACCATGTGGAATTTCCGTTGTAGATGAACACAGTTACGAAAAACCACCAGCCAGACCTCCAGTGAAATGTAGGTGTTCTGATGAGCTCTATTATGAAAAAACCTGTGCAGTGGTACGATAAGTTTAAGAAAGTTCTTGCATTTTAAACATTTAGCTGCTGATCGACCAAGGAAACCCAAACGCGGTAAGTATTCCTGATTGTCATTCCGTGAGTAAGTGAGATCCCAGCGCAGTAATGTTTTCATCAAAAGTAGCAGCTTGACCTATTTTGCTGAAGCTACTGCGCCTTTTTACCCTCGTCGGCCATTCAAAGTTTCAATGTAAGGTGGCGTTGTAAGGATTCCGGTTTTTGGCGGAAGGGGCTGGACTGCAAAAAATCGACCAGAAAACTTGTTTTTTTACAGCGGACGTGCAAGCAACCAGCTAATTTATTTTTACGCATGGAATTTCGCAGCTGTGTCTTGTGGATTGTTGCCCTGGCAGCTGTTTCATCTAAACTTTGCGTAATTACTGCACGGCTCACATATGACAAGTCGTTTTAGCAGCTTTGATAAGCAAGCGCTAGTTAAAATGACAGTGACTTTGGCTGTCTCTAATTCATTCCGTTCCTGTCATTTATTCGACCCTAGTTAAAGTATCCAAGAATTTAACATTTAGGAAGTTGGTTAGATACGTTACAATCTGTCAACAACGAGCAGTGAACGTAAGTCGGCCGTTTGACGGCGAAGACACCACAGTTGGGAAACAGACAGATCATTAGACCAAAGAACACTTATTTAAGATAAGTTAACCTCGGTCGTAGGACAAGTAGTGAAACGGGTAGTTTTCAGACGCGCTAACCATCCACAAACGTTTTAGCCAATAAAAAGAAAAAGACATTCTGATAAGACAGGGAAAAAGGAACCTCTCTGTAATACAGGTGTTTTTGCGCCAAAATCCATAAAAAAGAGAGTGACGGTTAAGGCTAACGTTGGGGTTAAGTCTAGGCTTAGGACACACGGGTAGGTATCCTCTCGGGAGTATGGCGCAAGGTCGTCTCTGTTGTAAGAAGGTTTCTATTTTCGTGTTCCGTAGTATTCCCCTAAGCCTACGGATTAATGACTTTGCAAAAACTTTGACTTTCGGCTATGGGACATGCTCGTCTGTCGAACCTTCATATCCAAGGAAAATACCTCGCATGCTGTTGCGTAATGACCAAAAGTGTGTTCTGACAGTGGCAATGGAGACTGGAATTGCCATTTATGACTTATACCCTTATTACCGTTTGCTTGATTTTTTTATTCGATGCCTTGAAACGATAAGATTTGGCCTGATAACAAAGTTAATCTGCCAATCCAATGCCACAGTAGATTTGCTATCGCATAAAATGCTCACTCAAATTCTAAAAAGTTTATTCGATTCGAAAAGATTGCCTAAATAGGGTTGCCCTGTTAAATATCGTGTTGCATTATGGTAAGATGTCGCAGTCATGTTATGGTGTTGACTTTCAAATGGGTCTCTTGTCTGCTGTTTGCGTACATTTTGTAAAATTACCATTTTAGTCGCATGACTTTTTCCCATCAATTTTCTTATTAATTCATATACATTTTGTAGAAAGAAGGCACAGCAATAGTTTTTACTCAGTTGCTGGCAAACTACGTTTTCTTTAAAAGAAAGTCTTCTTCGGTTTTAAAACCTCACTTTTGAATTATTATGAGCCCGACCTACCGTTGCAATTGCATTCAGGGTTTTCGAAATACTTTTGCGCAGAAACAATCACACATTCCTTCATGTTATAATTAGGAGAGAACACGGGACTCACAAAATTTTGTAATTGATACAAACCATGTTGTCTACTTTAAAATCAACATTAATAAGTGTGTTGATATGGTGCTGAACGACTGATGATTCTATGATCTGGAAAAATGCCGCAATTAGAAACTCCTTAAAATAGAAAGGTACCCTTTTATCTAGTAAAAAATTTAAGCGAAACCTACTTTGTTACCAAATAAGTAAAGTACAGAATGCTTTTGCGCATGTTTTCTATAAAATATATTTAAATTTAGAAAACTAATTAAAATCAATAAGAATAATTTGCACTGCCTATGTAATCACTTTTATGGTACGTAGTTTGCGCAAACGTTCGATACGAAACCCTTTCGAAAATCGGCGTCCTGACCTGACTGGCATATCCTAACATCATGTGACGCAATAATTGACATGACGACCATATTTAAGCAGTCTTTTTAAATTGAAAACACATTTCATAATTGCAGGCAGAATTACCTGGTATAACATATCTACTGCAATTTGCATAAATATGTTCTAAAAACAAGACCACAGTCATCTTCCACAGAAAAAAACGTCCGCTTTTGCGGCGGTATACCATGCAAATAGGTAAAAGCCGTATGTGTCAGAAGATCAGATGCCGGATTTCTATTCAGTTGTTGAAGACTCAAAGCTTGCGGCTGAAACCTTATATGTAATTTGGTAGTGCGCAGGACTGTTCTGAAATCTCGTCCTTTATCTATGTCGAAGCAGTTGTTTGTAATTTCGCTATGTACCCCCACGTATGTGCAACGAAGCAATTTTTTGTTGCATTTCTTATCGCTTGTTTGTTTTTGCATGTAGACTACGTAGAGGAAAGAACAACCTCACGGTCAGGTACCTAAATATTTTTCCTAAAAGTTTTTTCGAATAATTCATGGTCTCCGATCGTTCATTACTCAGAGAGAATTTCAACTTTTGAGGTCTCATTTGCGCAGTCACTTATCAATTCGCAGATAGTAATGCAGATTTAGGAACGGTAGATTTTGCAGGAGTCAGTGCTTTGCGTTGGTTTGTGTTTCTTTACCACCAGAGTGTTGTTAGAACGGCATAAAAGTTTGCTAAAAAGAAGATTTCGCCCTAAGTTGTTTGTATATTTGGCTTCCAGAATACCAATACGGCGATCTTCCAAGCGCATCGGGTAAGTTTCTGATAATTGCTTCTGTGTGATTTGAGAAACTGCAAAGGCAATAGCCACCACTAATAAAAAAATTTCATTTTGATAGAATTATCCTCTGAATCCACCGACTCCTCTAATGACTCAAGTGCGTCATCACAGCCATGCTCATCTGCTCTGCTCCAGACCCTGTATCTTGCTCGTCTGACATAACTTTTACCTTCTTTTTAGTGCCTCCACGACGAACGAAGCCTCCACAGCGATCAGGTGAGTTTTAGCAAGGAATGCGGGCCATCATGACTTGTTTATCGCACTTTAGGAGCAAAAAACTGGAGATGTGGGATTTTTTGGAGAATGAATAATGCATTTTTCCGCAGCATTTTATATAATAGGTTCCTTAGATTGAGCCAGGGTCCCAATGCTTGGTGTACTTTGAAAACTGTCGGTCGCCGCTTGTGGTTCGAGCACAAATTGCATTCATTTCTAAAACTGGTCTGATAGTGATTTTGGTATATAATGAGTTAATTAAGCTTATAAATCGAGGAGTCCCAAGCCAAAATTTTTTCAAATATTACAAATGAGAAAATTTGAACGTGGTCTCCTTCCAGTTTTTGCCTATAAGATGTCAAATTTTCGGTAACTAGGCATGAAGCTTTTTTGTGAAGTATTCACGCTTGTCTAACTAACGACGCGAAGTTAAATTTTTATTTTATACAGCAAATGTACTCAAAACGTTAAAGTAGTGAAGCTCTTACCTAGAAATAACTGTTCCAAAATTGTTTTAACTATGTTTCAAGTTTTTGGCAAACATTAACTTAAACAAATGCTGATTCCCTATGCATTGATTCAACTATTAAATGGACCATTTCCCTTTATTAGAGAGGCGTTTTGAAGAAAATACTTCGCAAAGACGACGTCCTAGAGAGAGTAAGCGTGTTATCTTCTATTTTTCGATAATACAAAATCAGTTGAACGCTTTTCTGTGCCCAAGCAAGCAAACGGTGGTATCTTGAGGCCGAACTGCAAATAATATGAGATTGCACCCATCTAACCCTGATTCACAATCGTCTGCACCTAGCCTTGTTGAAAACCTGACTGTATGCCTGAGGACTAAAAGCCCAACGGCGCTTTCCACCCGATATTACGAAAACGGACTCTAGCCTGCCAGAGGGTATCATTTACAGACGAGACAGCAATCCCATTCCACTTGAGACATTTAAAAGTTAACTTTCGTAAGGCTTTTGCCTGCAATAGACATTCAGTAGATTAACATATCGATTTAATGAGTGCAAGTAGGAAGCCGATGCGGAGGTTGTGGTGCTGATACTTGACAACAACTAGGCAACTGCCCCACCTCGACACGGTAATAACTAAGGTTCTTAACTAAATACACACATATCTTGGCAGGTGTTAAGCAGCATCGGTAGGCACACTCGCAAAACACGTAAACCGATGTTGCACAGAGAAAATTGGTACGCTGTTGAAAACGCATGCATGCTGCCCGTGATGTATATGCATTAACAGTCGCCTGCCGGTGATTAAGGTATGTATTCTAGAGGCAGCCAGCATCCTTATGCCTACAAGCACCTTTATGTCGACAGAAGCCTTTCCTACTACATTCCAAAACCTGTGGAACTAGGTGTGGCAGTCAGGTTTCTTTAAGGAGAACAAGGGAACTTAAACAAACTGGCGCCAAAACGTAGCGGAATTTCTGACCCGGTCCTTATGTGCTACCGTAATCCTCTTGATTGACAACTAAACACATTACTTTAGGCTACTAGTTTGAGGTAAAACTGTTAAGAAAAACGCACTGCCAAGAAAGCGAAGGCAAAACTTCGGTGAGCCAGGGGGCATTTAATTACGTAAGTAGTAAGAAAGACAATCGTTATGATGAATTTTAATTGAAATCGTATAGCCTTTTTAATGTTTTTTAAAAGTCGCATCATAATGCTGTAAGTTCACATGCGTTTTGTTGATGCTGTCGCCTAAGAGACCGCTTCGCCTTAATTTCAGGAGTCGATGAGAGAGAATCTTCACAGAGAAGTACGTTTGCCTCTGTATAGCATATTTAACAGATACGCCGTGAATTGCGTTCACCTCCAGTAAAGATATTGATCTAAACTTGTGTCTTTTTCATATTTTAGGGGTAAGCATGGGACTCTGCGATGCATACTGTCTCCTTGATACAGTTCCTGTAGCCCTCGAAAATAACTTTCTTCTAAAGTATGCTCCTTCTGTAATTGTTTTTGCAAAATTTTTTTCTTAATGTTAACAGCCTCCAGATAACTACATGCAGACTAGGACCCATGATCACGTATGTAAACGTTGGGTGAACTATTTCTTGCATAGCTTCGTGGTGCTTTCTTTGACCCCAGTGATGGCTGAAATGTCACTCTTGGGCTCTCAATTTACTTACCTTCAACTCATTTTCAGTATTTAACTTTTTACCACTGAGTGTTATTCTATGAGCATCTACACTTGGGAATGAGCTGCATGTTTCTCTTTTCATTCCCCTCGAAAGAGTCGACCGCCGCGAAACTCCAGCTACGTACGTTTTGCCCGTAATTAGGGCGTTCAAGTTGTCCCTTCTCGTGCATTTTATCTTACTCAGTAGGCTTTTTATGCACTAAGGGTTCGCCTACCAATAGTTTTCCTCATCAATGCTGAACCGCTTTCCCGATGTCCTGGCTGATTTCTAGTAAATCTCAAGTAACCTAACAGCGTATGCTTTTAGACGGGCAAATCGTTTCTATCATTTAACATGCTACATTTGTTGCGAAAAAAGTATTGTTCCAAAAATATCACTTCAGCTGAAAAAAAACTGTCGAAAGCACAGCCTAGGCGGTCATAATTTGACTTTCAGTCGTTTATACAAAAACTATGTTATCTCAAAATAGTTAATCGTTGTTCTTTTTAGCGGATCTGAGAGCAAAAGCCGAAAAAAATTGAGAGATTCCGGCCATCTGTGATGTGTTGAATGCCTCACATCTTGAAGTTCTACGTATCTCATGCAAAATGTCCTTTAATATTGGATTAAACTGGAAGTTCATAAACTGTCTGCGCGAAAAACTGATTATAAATAATCCTTAAAGCTGCGTTTTTACTGTCCATCTATTTTTAATTTAAATCACCCTGCTGTAGCCATCGCTATCAGAATCCTCGTTCGTAAAAAAGCGCGAACCTTTGACGCACGTTCAAATTTCTCCGAAAACTCTACACTCCCCAGAAGTAGTCACCCATCTTTTTGTACATATGATAACAAAACATATAATAACCATAAAGTAGATGCATTCGGCTCGGCGGGTGGTTTCGTTGATAAAGGGCTAGCATCGCACAGGTTGCGATAGAGTTTCCCTGGAACTATCCACTGTTTATTATAGAGGAAAAAATCGCTTTTCTCGACTGCATTTTGCATAGTCTAACAGGTAGCAGAACGTGTCTTTTTGTTGATGTCCTGGAAGGAATTACTGATCAGACAGCGGATTATCCCTAGCATATGTTTACGCGACTGAAAACTTGGATTCCAATAATGAGCTCCTGATAATTTGAAGTTTAGACCGTAATTTTTGGTCGTCAAATGTTTCAGCCATTTCCGTTAATGGCTACTTTCAGGTGCAGCATTGAAGGATTAGTGTTATCTTTGGCGTCCGACTTCGTTCTCCTTCACTCTTAACAAGAAACAATAGTCAATATAGAGGACACTTCATAAACTAGTGTTAATCGTTAAAGTGTTCATGGTGCCTAAAAAAATGTCCAGAATTAGAACGCTGAAAGTGAGGTTCACGACAAGCAGGAAATATAGTTAATAGTCGCAAGATGTTGACTGGGGGAATACGAATTGGATGTCAAACCTGTGAATGTATTCTCGGACGCACTGTGGGCGAAGGTAAAAGAGGTGATTTCTTAGGATTTCGCTGGAGAGAATGCAGCTGAAATTAACGTGCTTGCCAATGGTTTGACAAATGATACCAACCATACGTAGTATAAACAAAAGTATCGACAAACTAACGATCCAAGCTAAAAAGCCACTCGGTTGTGAACTAAAGATCATCCTTAATGGTCAGTCAAAATGATGGTGTTTTCATCTACTTGTCGTTCATTTGCTCATCTGTCGTCGTCCGCATAAACTAAAGTAGGCCTAGAGGAAGCTTTACGGGGGAGGGGGTAATGCATGGGCTTAGATTTCAGGATGATTTAACTTTCACCTTGGTGGTCAGCTACGCACAAGAGTGATATGCTACAATCATTCGTATCCGAGACGAAAACTGTTCAGGTTTTGATCACTGTTGTCGTTATTTGGCGTGACGATAACATGCTCATTTTGTTCGAAATCACCAAAAATGTTGGTCGCTCGCATCCGCCTGCTTAGCTTATCATACGTCCTAGAAAAATCTCAGCAGAAAATAGAGAAGAAAGTGGAGGTCGTTGTGTTTGTTAGTTGATTGCGGTCTAGAGAACCATGAAGTAAGCAGCTCGCGGGTCACGTCGTTGTCACCTCGTGGGAGAAATTCGGCCTCAATAACCTGTAAGGTACAGTAGGTGGACTAACTCATTACATATCAACTAAATTTCCGAAATACGTTTGCATTTTGAAAAAATTAATTAAGTAGGGTTGTAAAACTAGTCAGCCCGAAGCATAATTCTATAACATTTCAGTGACCTCAGGATGTCGGCTTTCGGATAAACTTTCTTACGGTTACATGCATAGACCACACTCTGGACAAAATGACTACTTATGTAGCATGAATTGATCTCAATAATTTTAGATGCCCCTAAACGTCCAATTATATTTCATGGAAAGTATGCTACAAAATATTCATTCTTTAGCTCATTTACTAGAAATTACGTCTTTTTCCAATTTTATACCCGAAGGAGGAACATAATTCGGTTTTAAAAAATTTTCTATTTGTGGGACGTAAAAATACCGTGAAATGGTCCTTCATAAAACGTCATGCCTCTACATTTACCAATGTGGCTTGTAAAGTTAACAATATAGATCAAATCTACAGCTTAATTTTATGAACCCTATGTGGTCCGCCTTTAGTATCGTGCGGAAATGTATGGTTTTGCCTACGCGGAAAATATACGGCTTGCAGTTTAAAAATACCGAATCCAAGTGTGACGGTACAGCAGGTTCAAAATTATTCGGGAATTGGAAAAATTTTAAAACCGAATTATATCCTTTTTTCTAGTATAAAACAAAAAGAAGGCGTAATTTCTACTGAATGAACAAAAGAATGAATATTTTTATGCATACTTTCCATGAAATATAATCGGACGTTTAGGGGCATCGAAAATCAGTGAGAAAATTTCATGCAACATACAGTAGATGTGCTAACTCACGAAATGCCAACCAAAATTTCGAAATGCGTTCTCGTTTCGAAAAGATAAATTAAGAAGTGTTGAAAACTAATCACGATGCAGCATAAATCTATAATGATCCTGTTACCTCAGGGTGTCAGTTTCGAAGGAACTTATTTTCGGCTGCATGCAAGATCTATACTCTGCAAAAAATGACTACTTATGTAGTATGCAATTTTCTCATTGATTTTCGATGCCCTTTAAAATTCAATTATATTTCATGGAAAACATGCATAAAAATATTCATTTTTTACTTATTCGGTAGATAATTACGTCTTCTTCCAATTTCATACTCAAAAGAAAAGTATAATTCGGTTTTAAAAAACTTTTCTAATTCCCGAATAATTTTGAACCCGACCTGCTGTTACACTTGCATACAGGGTTTCCAACCTACAAGCTAAATATTTTCCTTGTATACGGAAAACCATGCATTTCTCTACAGCGTTAAGAGACGACCATATGGGGTTCATAAAATTAAGCAGTGGATTTGAGTAATATTGTTAAATTTACAAGCCACATGCGTAAATGCAGATACATGACGTTTCATAAACGGCCGTTTAACGGTATCAAAAATCTCACAATAAGAAACTTTTTAAAACCTAATTATACTCTTCTTTTGAGTATAAACTTGGAAGAAGACGTGATTTTCTACCGAATAAGTAAAAGAATAAATATGTTTATGCATGTTTTCCATGAAATATAATTGAATTTGTAAGGGCATCGAAAATCAATGAGAAAAGTGCATGCTACATAAGTAGTCATATTATGCAGAGTATAGATCTTTCATGCAGCCGAAAATAAGTTCTTTCGAAAGCTGACATCCTCAGGTAACTGGATCATTGTAGATTTATGCTGCATCATGATTAGTTTTACAACACTCCTTAATTTATCTTTTCGAAACGAGAACGCATTTCGAAATTTTGGTTGACATTTCATGAGTTAGCACATCTACTGTAAGTAGTCATTTTGTACAAAGTGTAGTTTTTGCATGCAACCGGAAGGAAGTTCATCCGAAAGCCAACATCCTGAGGTAACTAAATATTATAGAATTAGGTCGCTGGCTGACAAGTTTTACAACCCTACTTAATTAATATTTTCAAAATAAAAACGCATTTCGGAAGTTCAGTTGATATGTCATGAGTTAGTCCACTTAAATGAGCCACGACCCAACAGTTAACATCATTCCTCCTCGCTGCTGTTGTTACTGCATTCTCAGTCATTCACTCCACACCGATTTCCCAGTTTCGCCTGTGCTCGTTGAATAGGATCTCTCGTATCGTTTAGGCATGCGCCGACTGACACATTTGCACAAAAAACCATTTGCTCCAAGGACTCGTCGGAGGTACTGCAACCTTATCTTCCGGTTCACTACATTTCACCTCAACGCACCGGTATAGCACCTTTACGCAACTGTCTTTTTGGCCGATTGAATGGTTGCTGTTGAAGTTCAGTACTTGCGTTGTATTATTCTCTTTCCTGAGCAATCTTGTTTTAGGTCACCACAATAATAGCGATAAATGGCGGCATCAAGTGAGACTGGCTAGCTCTTTTCTCCCCCTTACGTCCTAAATTGTATGTACATGAAGACGTCGTTGAGATGTCGTTCGATGACGATAAATGTGTCATCCACATACCAAATCCGAAATATGGATTTGTGGTGTCGGATGACAAGCAAATCCAACCGGTGCAATCCAAAAGACGACGGAGACATTTGCATGCCTTTCATCCGTTCATAGATTGTTCTGTCGAAACTAAAGTAGCTATTGCGACAGAACATCGGTAGCTGAAGGATTTCGGCATGCCCAAGACTATTCCTCGTTTCATTTTATGTGTTCTGTATGAGTAATCTGATGGCCTTGACTGTTGCATTCAGAGGATTAGATGTTAAAATGAATGCGACATCAAAAGATACCATGTCGTCGCTTCGTGGGAGACTTACGCCATCCAGTTTCTACTAGGATTGCGTCGCGCGCTGACTGTGATGTCTAAATCAGCGTTTAGAAATTGGAGCCATCGAATTGGCCATTTTTGCCTGTACTTCGCTGGTAATTTGGAGCGTTTCGAGTGATGCGATGGGCCGGAGGGCAACGCCCGCTTTGCGCACTATTGAAGGGGGCCTCGAATCGCGCGATGACCGTTTATTGCGCTCTCAACTTGCGTCGGTCGGTCGGCGATATTGCACCGTAGCTCTCAATTGCCAATAACATCGTATTGATTTCTCCAGTGAACATTTTAAGAGATTGGTTTCACACGGAACGAAGAGCTGACATTCCTCCAATAGACTTTTGGATTTCTGCATGTCGTTGGTTCTATCCAATACGACGGTGGCACGCCCCTTTCAGCAGACATGAGAACAATGTCTTTTATCGTCCCAAGTTTCCCCAACGCATCGTATTCGACCTTGGAAAGCTCTTTGCGTTGCTTATAAGCCACAAGGAGGGGTGTCAGTTTGTGTAACATAACGTTCTTCGTTTTGTCTGTTTGGCTAGGGGGCTAGATCGCAGTTGGTAACCAAGCCCCGTATTACAGGTGGCGGGGGTGGTTTGTCTACTGCGGCTATTTTGTGGGGCTCCGTAATCCCATCTGACCCATTTGGCTTCCGTTTTAC